AGGAAGCGGCCACTGCACTCCAGTCTGGGCGACAGAGTGAGACTCCAACTCACACAAAACAAAACGAGACAAAAAAAACTGTCATTTGGGGATTCTCAAACATGATCCAGGGCATATGGGCAGCTGGGGAGTGGTCATTTGACATTGTTGGATTTGGGTGGAAACTGAGGCTCCTGCGACCTCCATACCTGGGGTGCTCCCCTCCCACCCCCAGATTGGTTCCAGAGGGAACGAGTATCCCCCTGGGTGGGATGAACAGTGACTGGCAGACCAGCCAGAACTTCACTGGGAGATCCAGAAATGAGAAAGCTACGGGGGCCTCCGTGTGTGCCCACATGTCCCCATACCTGCGGCCACCATGAGTCTGTGCACTCTTGCAGAGGAAGGAAGTAAAAGCTTGGCACCTGGAAAACTGCCCAAACACCAAGCACGCTCCTCAGTCCACCAGCCGAGAGGGGGTCCTGCTGGTTGAGCTGTGTGAACCCAGCCTTCACCCAACACAGAAGCCAAATGACCCTAGGAAGACAGGCTTGCAAATATCCTGAACAGAGACATCAGTGCCACATACCACAAGGAAAACACGGTCTACAGCTTTAGTCCAAGAAAATTACTAGGCAAACAAAAACAACCAATATCACCAACGAAAAATATCAGAATCAAAGTAGCTGCAATATATTATCTAAGACATCTAGTTTTTTATTTAATTTTAATTTTAAATTTTTTTTGAGTTGGAGTCTCACTCTGTCGCCCAGACTGGAGTGCAGTGGCCGCTCTCGGCCACCGCAGCCTTGACCTGCTGGGCTCCAGCTTTCCTTCCACCTCAACCTTCCAAGTAGCCGGAATTACAGGCATGCGCTACCACGCCCGGCTGATTTTTTATTTATTTATTGTAGAGATGAGGTCTTGCCAAGTTGCCGGGGCGGGTCTCGAACCCGCGGGATCAGGCAATCCACTCACCTCAGCCTCCCAAGGCACGGGATTACAGGCTGAGCCACCGAGCCCGGCGACATCTAGTTTTTTAAAATGAGCAGACTGCTAGGTGTGGTGGTTCACACTTGTAATTCCAGCACTTTGGGAGACTGAGGCAAGAGAATTGCCTAAGCCTAGGGGTTTGAGACCAGCCTGGGCAATTTGGTGAGACCTTGTCTCTACAATAAATACAAAAAATTAGCCAGGTGTACTGGCACGCCTATATTTCCAGCTATTTGGAAGGCTGAGGCAGAAGGATCGCTGAACTCAGCAGGCTGAGGCTGTGGTAGCTGTGAGCATGCCACTGCACTCCAGTCTGGGCAATAGTGAGACTCTGACTCAAAAAAAAATCAGACTTTATTAATAAACTTGAGCAATTTTAGGTTCAGAGAAAAGCAGAACAGTAAATGCAGAGGGTTCCCATATGTTCTTTACCTATTACCACCAATTTGCATTATTATTTCTTACAATTTAATGAGTTAATTCACATGTCTATTTTGACTCCAAATTACAAGCAGGCAAAGAAACAGGAAAAATGTGACCAATATTTAAGGAAAAAAGCAGGTGATACTATCTCTGAGTGGACTCAGATGTTAAACTTAGCAAATAATGATTAGTAGAAACCATGTTTAAAGAATGAAAGGAAAGTTGGCTGGGCATGGTGGTTCACGCCTGTAATCCCAGTGTTTGGGAGGTGAGGCAGGATAATTGCTTGAGGCCCTGAGTTCAAGAACATCCTGGAGAATATAGCAAGATCCCATCTCTACAAAAAATTAACTGGGTACGGTAGAGCACACCTGGAGTTCCAGCTACTCACTAGGCTGAGGCAGGAAGATCACTTGAGCCCGGGAGTTTGAGGTTACAGTGAGCTATGATCATGTCACTGCACTCCAGCCTGAGTGACAGAATGAGACTCTACCTCTTAAAAAAAAAAGATTAAAGAAAAGTATTATGATAATGACTCAAATAAATAATCTTTTTTTTTTTTTTTTTTTGAGTTGGAGTCTCACTCGGTCGCCCAGACTGGAGTGCAGTGGCCGCTCCCGGCCACCGCAGCCTCGACCCGCTGGGCTCCGGCAAATCCTTCCGCCTCAGCCTTCCGAGTAGCCGGAATTACAGGCGTGCACTACCACATCTGGCTGATTTTTTGATTTATTGTAGAGATGAGGTCTCGCTGCCCAGGTGGGTCTCGAACCCGCGGGCTCAGGCAATCCACTCCACTCACTTCAGCCTCCCAAAGGCACGGGATTACAGGCTGAGCCACCGAGCCCGGCTTCAAATAAATAATCTTAATAAACAATTTATTAAAAGGATCAAATGGGATTTCTGGAATTGAAAAATACAAAACTGAAATTAAAAGTTCACCAGAGGATTTAATAGAAGACACATTTAAGTCTATAATAGCTTTAATTTATTTTTTATTTATTTTTTTTGAGTTGGAGTCTCACTCTGTCGCCCAGGCTGGAGTGCAGTGGCCGCTTCCAGTCACCGCAGCCTCAATCTGCTGGGCTCCAGCGATCCTTCCGCCTCAGCCTTCCAAGTAGCCAGAACTATAGGCACG